GAACAACTTGACACAATTTATAGATGAAAAACTTCAGGTAAACATTTTTATCAACAAATAACAGTTTTGTGGAATTGAAACATATGTAGAAGGAAATCTTCGGGAAGAATAAAAGTTTTATACAGATTGCATATATATATGGATTTTGTAATACTTCACAACACTTTTACGACTAATATTAATATACATATAACAAGGAAGATTTTGCCATTATCAACCAACTCTACTTTGCCTTTGTAACACGAGATCGTGTCAAATCATAAAACTAGAAAACTGAATATAAAACTGAATATATATATATTTATGTGTGTGTGTAAATTTAGCTATATGTAGAGTATTATCAGGCGATGACATACATACGTCAGACAAATACAGAACATAATTTAATAATTTGTTGATGAAAGAAATTCTGTATTCCTAGAAACGGAACGTATATTTACTGCCCAAAATATTCCGAGTAAGACAGCAATTTTTAATACCGGTTTTTAAAGTTTATCTTTGCCATATCATTTTGAATCTAAATTTCGTTGAAATTCTGGGTTAGATAAATCAATATTTTTTTAAGAAGCGGCTTCACAAAAGTTAATATCAAATAGTTTTACTTTCATAAAAAAATATTTTCTCAATACGTAGTCTCGAGCTTTAACAGTGACATCGTCTTAAATTTTCGTTGTTGTAGTTGCATTCAAATTGATAACTTTTAAACTTAAATACATAATAATAAATAGACTGAATTCCCAACATTGCATAGCTTCATATATCTGTTGTTTCCCCTTCACTACAAATATGTATGTACTTTTTTAATGGACGTCTACATTACATCATAATAGATATGCTGTATCCCCGTATCCCCTGCATGGTGTAATATTTTAATAGCCCTGTTGTATTTCCTAGAGCGTGTAATATTTTAATCAATTGTAATATCGATTTCTATATATAAGTGCATTCCTTCAATAAATATATCTAATAAATTGCAGTTCATTCAAAAAGATACAAATGGTATTCCAATAGATAGCTGATTACGTCTAAGCATGTAATCAGTATTTTGATTGATAAGTTGTATCTCAGTGTCTATTTCATAAGTGTATTCCATCGTTAGGAATTTTAAAAAAACTGCTTGTACCCCTAGATAACATTGATGGGTTGTTTTTCATATGTTTTGATATTTTTAAAGAATATTTCAATATACTTCTTGTACATGTAAAATATGTAATGAGCTGCTTGTATCCTATTCAATACTTAATGCATTGCTCGTATCCTATTCAATATTTAATGCATTGCTTGTATCCTATTCAATACTTAATGCATTGCTCGTATCCTATTCAATATTTAATGCATTGCTTGTATCCTATACAATAGTTGATACATTTTGTTATACATTGCAAGTATCATGTTAGATATCTTATATTTTGTGTGTAACTTATACAATATTTAATATAATGTTTACATTCCATACAATGTTTCATACATTTCGTCTGTATCCTTTTATGATATTGATTATCTGATACATTGCTTTTACATAGATCATTATAGAAAAGTCAATACATTGTTAACTCCCCATTAAACTATCATTGCAATAAAATATTTAATACATTGTTATTACACTTTACAACATATACAATACAGTGCTTTTATAATATTCGTTATAGAACATTCTAAAAAATAGATTTTAAAAATAATTTCTTGTATCCCTTACAATGCAGAATGTCAAATGTCGGGTGTATCTCTCCACGACAGACATGAATACAACTTGACTCAAGTTCATTTATCACTGAGCTCGGCTTTTTACATTTCAACTTGTGACAATTAGGTTCCAGCACGATCAAATGGATGTGTGTCGATCTTCAATGTCATTATATTTTAAGTAGGGTTTTTACAGGTGGTGAGAAAATCTTTATACTATTATTATAAACCGGCTTCACATTGAAAATAGCGTCTCATTTGTTTGGCATCAAAGCATGTTTCTCACTACGAAATAACAGATTGCAACTGGAAATACAAACATTCTTATCTGATGTCAGGGCGAGAATAAATCGAGAAGAAATGTTCACGAGTACAAGATGGTGGCTCGTGAAGCTACAGAGAGGAGGGGAGTGGGGAGGGAAGATGTTGTGTTACCCAGGGTTATCACGTTCAGATATTCTGTTTCCGTGTCGATAGCCTTTCCAAAACACACAAACATATAGCAACAACGCCTACACCTATAGATATTATTAAGCTTCTCTCGCCAGCATAAACGATATTTCATCTCATTTTCACATTATGGCAATTTAACAATATCACACAAAGTGGGAAACAGTCTTATATCCATGATATATTCTTACTATATGCTATAACGTTGAAATTTATGTAGAGGCAAGTATGGTAGATAATTAATAAAATAGAATACATAGCGATAACAATGCATGAGAATATATTGAAGTATATTGGCTGTTGTTCTGGGGTACAGTACTTAAAATTGTCCCTCACCATACTCCTTCTTATTCCAGACTCCAATCATGGGAAATTATATTCAAATTTTATTCCCAGTTTATATTTAATATATTAAAATGGAAATTTAAAAGATTTATTGGGTGGTGAAATATGACTATCATAGTGATACAATTAACTTCAAAGGAACGGGCCCTTTGTCATTCATTCATTACGTATCAGTGATTCTATCTGTCAGCGTTTCAGCCACTTCAAGTGTGTTGGACGGGGTTCAAATCGTGTCATCTCTGATTTTAATTCTGATAAGCCGTCACAATATCCCGTCACACAATAAAAAATGTATATATAGAAGTGAGAATTTGTCAGTGGCTTCATTTTGAAGTAAATAACGGTTGGTTTCCCCTGAAATATACCAGAATTCTTTTTGTGAGATAAATCTTTATAAAAAAAAATGTCATTTTTTATTTGAATTGTTGGGGGAAAACATGTGCTAGCATTAGAATGAGAGGCGTGTAAGAAGGAAAGGTGTGTAGGTACGGAATGTGATGAGAGACTTTGTCCAGGCCAGTCATTACCATTCTACAAAGGTGTACACATCTCCGAATGTCCTGATCCGTAATCTAGGATTATTGAACGCGCTGACACCTTGGAAATAACCCTATTACCGGAAACACATTTGGTGTGAAAACCTGTTAAGGGATACTGCTTAAAGACATCTAACAATAGAGGATTACTCGCTCTAAGTCGTGTTTATTTCCATCGTGCGACGTCTTACGAAACAATACTAAGTAAACAAACTTCTGTTACTTATAGACGGGATTAGTGACAATTAAGATAAATGCTTAATCATGTGTGTTTCTTCTTATGTACACCAATATTAAAATTCAAATATATTATATATCTTTAAATTGTAATCGATTGTTACATATATCTAAGTTATTTTTTTAAATAGTAATTGTTTACGTTTTGGAAACAATGATATGTTTTGTATATCATACTAATTAGCGTGATGGTGTAATGGGGAAGTGTACTGTGAATTTTTAGGTATCGGGGACACGGTCGGGTATCAAGCGGTGTGAGTCAGCGAAACGGTTAAATGGCTGTAAGTCAGGCAACGAAAATTCTTATAGTTAATTGGGATCCTTCATCAGTGACCGGAGTTAACATTCGTAGACATTTATCAGGCTAACAGTGCACACACCAGTTCAGTACTTCTCAACACTCCGCTAACAGTACACAAACATTTGTCATTTCACAAAGCGCTCTTGTATTATCTCTTGTATATTATTAAACACCAAAACGACGCTTTTTATGGACATATTTGAACAAGTTCTCTGTCATGTATATTTTTTGTAAACTATAATAAATTAATATAAATTGGTTAAAGGAATATATGTTAAAATCCTTCAATGCTTGGCGTATCTACTGGGTCAGAACCTAGCGATACCATCAGACTGGGCTTCAAGTTCGGACATAAAAAACATAAATTATATATAGTAGAACTGAAATCAACATTTATTTCTACATTAATACCAGGTAAGGCTAGTATACGACAGTGTTAGTACCGTTCCGGCCTATCAGCAAGGATCAAAGTAAAATAAAAACATGTTTTGTAGGATTATGAAATTATCTTTTAAATACTCTATGTTTAATTTCACTTGATAAAATCTGATGGAGGATTTTAAACATGTATAATATGCAGCAAGCGTTCATCATAACAGCCGACACATGCTGATAAGGCTATTGTACAATGCATCTGACACAGTTTTTACTTGCCTCTAATCTCGAAACGATATTTATCAAACACTTATTCTGCTATATTTTTGTCCCTTCCTGTAGTTCAGAGTACCTAAACCCTACAGTGAAGATTACGACAGAAGATGCGGCAACACAATTTGAATCAACTCAAAAAACATTACAACTAAAAACTCTATCTGTTTTCATTAAGATTTAAATCGGTTCGGTGCAGGAGTTCTAAGGCGGAATGGAACTGCGATTCGAATTCCATCGCAAGTCAGATTGACACGTGCCGAGGCTATTTCCGCATGAAATTGATCACCATTAAAAAATTAAGAAATTAGTTCTCTAAAGTAGGATTTCCACTAACCTCCATACAATTAACACTTTACCAAATTGAATTTAGACTAAATCAAAGGTGACATGTTTGCATCTTCAGTTTGAACTTCAGAAGGAATGGAATTTAAAATTTATTAACAAACACAAACTACATATCGTAATTCATTTAGAATGTATAATAGCTTCCAATTTACTTTTTTCTCTCTGTAAAAGAACTTAACATTAAAAAAATACTAACATAACACCAGAAGTGAATTTATTGAAATAATATGACTTATGTATATTTGGTTTCATATCTTTTCATAAAATGATTACATAGAATCTACTCATATCAGAATACTTCCGAAATACGAATCTAAGATTTGATTAAAATTATATCACCTATATTTTTTTTATATTATTTTTCTTAATAAAGGGTTTCATGACAATGTCAAAAATAACAAAAAAAATTGTAATGTGTTTTGATAATTTTGTATCTGACAAAGTGCACTTACCCACACATTCGTTAGCATCCTTGTTATTGGCCCGAGCCCACGGGCGGTCGGAGTGGAAGGCCTTACATTTCTCACAATCGTACCCTGCCGTGTTGTGTTTGCAGTCACACTCCAGACGACCCTCTCGGTTCTCGATACACTTGGAGGCATGTCCGTTGCACTTGCACCTTCCGCCGACCGCGAAGTCCGACAAGGCGTAATAGTAGCTCTTCCTAGCAGCTTCATCATTAGAACTCTCATCCCCGAAGGTATTCAGTTTACTGAAAACAACCATGATGTCGGTAGCTGTCACCCAATCTTGTAGGATGGGGCTGTTGTCGAAATCGTAGGCCGATGGTCGGCCCTCCAGTGTGCTGAAGGCTACTCTAGCTCCGGACAGAGGTTCGATGTCGCTGTATGCTTCCGTACAAAGGGCGTCCTGCTCATTAGCTTTAGTTATGACCGCTCGTGGCGACTTGGAATACATCTTTTTACATGCGTTTGAATAATATTGGAATGGTACCCATGTATTTCCGTAATCCACACTTTTATATATGGCCATTGATGCAGGTCTGGCAGAACAAAACTGTAAACTTATATACGTCATTTCATATTTTTTGTTTAAAGATAATTTGAGAGTAACATTTTGAGGGTACTGGACATATGTGTCGGACATCCAGCACGTTACATTGTTGGGGTTATTCAAATCGGTTAGATAAGATGGAGGATGCTGCCTCTTGGGATGATTAGCATCACAAATAAAACAATTCCGAATAATGCCACTGTCCTTCCCTAGTGTTGATTTACAGTACTGACTCGCGGGAGCCCCGCACGTGCTTGACGCGTAAACCTCCTTCGCGAACGCTGCATTGACGAAATCGGGTACGCACCGGGTAGGTTCTCCGCGATCGTCGTAACAGGGGTCCGGGTTTGTGGGTTGTTGGAACATGTTCAGGTAGGATGGGGAGGCCATTATAAAATGGGAACTTAGAAAACTCAGTAGCAAAGTTAATCTATACATGTTTACCGAATGATTAGTTTTTTCGTTTCTCATTCCAAACTAGACTCCATGTACAATAGGAACTACATACAAAAAAAATTCATAAATAATCACAATCACTCATAACTATCTCAATAAGATCACCCTGATGGAGAACTGGTGATAACGCGATATTCATAGATGAGCTACCCCCAGTTACACATGTCGAGAGATGGCTGTCCACAATACCTCAGCCTGACACTGGATACCTCTTTACATCCCAATACGACAACACTGTTGACCATTCGCCACCTTCTCATACTCCCGCCACGTGCGGGGGAGAGCCCGCGATACCCTGTGTCATGATTCCGTGTCCGAGAATTCCACAATTATATGATCCACGTGTTATCAATACAATATCTGTTGGTTCCACGAGTTTGTTTTGATAAATCACAGTGATGTAATTAGTAAAATACCATGTAAGTTTTGAAGAGATAACTGCACTCCGTGACAGAGATAGGGTCTATTCCCTGGCTACGATGACTGAGAGGTACCAATAGTAACGGTCTAAAACCGGGCTGCTACATACGATTCCATGTCAGATTCCCAACACCGTGGATGTGAAAGTCATGAAACACTCTATCAAGCGGCACTGTGCTGGGCAATTACACCACGAATTGGATTATACGGCATATAGCTTTGGTGGCTTTCTAGACCTGTGAACGTAAACCCTTTCTTGTTATCTGGCCCCGCCCAGCCCTGCCAATCAAAGGGGTTCGCAACCTCAAAGCTGTGCTCACAGGCAGTGTACCCGCTAGGCCCGGCCCACACTCAACTAGCTAGCAGTATTATCGTCATTGTTACAATTAAAATCATTCTAAACGGTTATTCTTTATAGAACAATGGTGTCAGGGCGGACAGTGTACTGTTACGTCATACACCCGACAACATTGTCGTAATACCATAGCCTTATGTATTTACATAGCTTCTCAAACCATAAATGTAAGATATTCGTTTTATTTAATTTTTCAGCCTTCTAAAAATAATGATATACACTACCTGTAGTATGAGGTACACATGTATATATCTCCCGCGTGTGACGAAGTGCAGACTTATAAGCCACCTGAATCAATACCACAAGATCCATATCAAATATCGGCAAAAATGTGGGGTCATTTACCCTGCTAGCTACCCTACAGGGCAATATGCGTGTTTGGGACTCCTACCCTGACAAGTCTACATATCCCCCTCCGGTCCCAATGTGTGGAGATCAAATTAGTGATCCCCTTTCCACTAGCCCATGGGGTCGCGAAACCACTACTACCCCCTCCCCCCCCCCTCAAAAAAAGAAAAGAAAAAAGTAAAAAAAAAAAAAAAAACAAAACACACACACACAAGTGATATCCTCCCTTCCTATCTGGTCTGGGTACCAACGTAAGTAGATGATTCTACTTTCTCACTCTCCTCACCCTTTCAGTCTGGGTACAACGTGTACAGGTGTCTTTTGATCCCACTCTCTCCTCCCCTCCACTCATATCATGGTAGATAAACGCAGTATCAATTACATCACCCGTTCTGAAATATCCATATTACATGTTTGGTGACTTTTACAATTTGTTAAATGTTAAAACGTATCAAAATTCGATTAAAAATATTTTTATTGAAATGTATACGTTTAATTCAAAATAGTTAACAAATACTCTTTATTTGGTGTTTACAAGCATCATGTATTACACACACGGAAATATAAAGTTTGTTTCAGTTTATGAAATCAACCCTTTTGGAAATATTTCATGAAATTATTTAAACATAGTGAATGGTGTACAGTAACATGTAAAGTCTCGTGATATTACGGTTTACGGTATGCTCTTATAAAAACCCTATATTACTAGACAGTTCAAGGGAGAATTATAAACCACTCGCACGAAGAAAGGATGATTTCGGGGGATGTGTGTGTGGGGAGGGGGGCGGAGGGAGGGTTGGGGGGTTTTAAGAGATGTTTATATCTATATAGGACTCCTAGGGGGTAAAATTAGGTGTAGGGGCAGCATGTGCGACTAGGGATTTTATTTTGTTGACAGATACGTCAGTACCCGTATAAAGGGGTCATTGAGCGGAAAGAATTGATCTGTATTGAGCAGAAAGTGTCAACAGGGCCCAGTTTTTCTAACTGTCATGGTAGCACATGTACGCGCTTGGGAATTTCAATTTAGTGAGGAAGAATGTATATCACATCTTGTATTCAGAAAATTGTAAATTTATATTCATATGTGGGGTGTATGATGACAAAGCAAGTCCTTTACAGTGATAATGATATTCTAAAAGAAACGAAACATTCAAAGTTAATGGAACGGAAAGCGAGCACGGACGCTGTCAGTGAATTGTCTTATATATTCTTCACATCGTTATATTTGTCTATAATGATAAAGTTAGGGTTTATTTCAATAGTTTTCACACCGGGATAAGTATTTGGGTGATAAATTTGTTCAGGTAAACAAATATTAGCACCTCCTCAAGTGGATACATGTTTAAACTGCCGTAGACATCGATATAGGCACTACAGCGAATCTCGTCTCTCGGATAACTCTCGATAACGATGAAAAATCGATAAATTGATCATTGTAAAGGTTAACCCTGGGGTGTTTCTTCGCGTCCGTAGAGCCGTCCCAGGTGTTAGCACAGGGGTTTATGTTGCGCAATTAACTTACCGGCCGGATTCCGGAACATGGATAGGTGTCGAATTCATTTACCTTTCCATTCATGTACATAATTAGCTAGCAGGCTAATTCCCGCCTCTTATTGGCAGTGATTACGCCGCGGAATATATGCCCATTGATACTTGTAATCTAGATCAAACATGTCTCGGTCAAAAGAGGTGTGTATCCAGATCTCACACCTGTGCCCACTTCTGGCCGAAGATTAAACAAGAGTCCATTAAAATAAATGTGAGAGGGAAGAAAACAACTTTCCTGGGGCGATTAAGGGATATAATCCAGATGGACCAAATTTAGTATAAACTGTATTTGCGTACTGTCGAACGACGCATTTAGTTAAACCAAAATCACTTACACTAAATCACATTCCATTGGATAAACTACAAATAGAATGGATAGTGAAAACATAATTAAAATATTTCAATAGGTGTCCGGTTATATCATAACGGACCGTTAGCTATGTGTAGACAACAATTTATCCTAATTAGCATTAGAGCATTACTTTAAATGGAGGATTATAACTCTTTTAAAAAGAAGGCGTGATAGTTACTTCCGCAAATACGCCATAAATGTTTACACAATTTACGATGAAGTCCCAAGAAATCACCACTGATAAAACCTTACCAATGAAACGTAGAGATTTTCTTGTTTTAAGTATGACAGGTGTTTGCCAGCACGTTCGACTACCTTATGTATAAAATATAGCCGGTCGATTTGAAATCAAAATATTTAATTAATGTGAATAGAAAATAAAATAAGGTCTTAATATCTGTTGAGATTTAAAAAGTCGAATTTATCTGAAAAAATAATTGGCAATATATATAGAATTATTTAAGATATATGAGATAGATATGTTCCGAGGAAGGCCTTGTTTTACACTTATACAATTGTGTGGCAATTATACGTAGACATGTCCCAGTCTCCATTGGGTCCAGTTCGGGCTTTGATGGGGTGAAAGGGCATTTGTAATGCGTGCCGGAAAATAACTTTACGTCCATTCTCTGTCACCTACAACAGAACTGGGGGTACTTCAGTGTCCAGGGTGTATACGGGTATTACACACTCAATGCATAATATATCTGACTCGTGTCATGGAAAGTCACGAATTTACACACGACATGACGTTAAATATTGGCGTAATGCATGTCACTACCATACCGTGTCCATATCGGTAGCCGTGTATATCACAACGAGCAGTTTCCTGATGTCTATAGATGTAAATGCATTGTAAACACCGACTTATTCAAAGGCAAATGCGTCTTTTTTTGTGTGATAAATAACCTTCTTATGCTGCCTACCTTAAAGTTTATGTATGAACATTCTTCAGTACATTTTTTCTTGTCAAATACCAACATATAGGAAATTTAGGTTTGAGATATACAGAATTTAAAACTAGCACGTCCAAAGATTCCATCACGCTCTTAATCTACTACGGAGATACTTCCATAGGACTACTGACAGTCTTGCTGTAGTTAATCTGCTTCACGTTCAGTTTCGGATTATGTTTTCCCTTGGTTTTTACACAACGTTTCATGATTGATAAAGCTTTGTCATAAACTTCTAATTCTATTACCAATTACCCTCATGTTTTATTTCAAAAAGCCCGCCTTTGCCAGTCAATAACCGATGTCTTCGATTACCTAAAATCTAATCTTTCTTTGTTCATATGTGTACGTGACTTTCCATGTAAATCTTTATTTTATACATATTCCCTCCTCGTTTCTTCGATTTTGTCTTTGACCTACGAATTTTGTTACACCGTCTTTTACCTCATCTATGCCATAATAAATTGTAAATCCTCCGCCTGTATTTGGACTTTTAACAAACAATATCTCTGACAGCAATTGTCTGAAAGAATTCATCTCCAAAACTGTCATTCAAACACTGTCAACAATGCTTTGTGTTTAAACACTTCTATTTCAATTAATTATGTTAAGAACACTTCAATTAGGTCGTTGATACAAAATTTCCACATCTTTGTTTTTACTTCTACCTCCATAAAGTCTTTGGTACAAGCATTCTACAGTCATCAAGTCTTGTACAAATATTCTACAGCTATCAAATTAGAACAAATATTCTACAGCCATCAAGTTTGTACAAACATTCTACAGCTATCAAGTCTTTAGTACAAGCATTCTACAGCCATCAAGTTTGTACAAATATTCTACAGCTATCAAATTAGAACAAATATTCTACAGCCATCAAGTTTGTACAAATATTCTACAGCTATCAAATTAGAACAAACATTCTACAGCTATCAATTCTTTGGTACATATATTATACAGCCATCAAGTCTTTGGTACAAATATTCTTTAGTCATCATGTGTTTGGTACAATCATTGTACAGTCATCAGGTCGTGTAAAACATTCTACAGATATCAAATCTTTTGTACAAACATTTTCTATTATCAAATGTTTGGTAAAGCATTCTACAGCAATCAATTTTGTACAAACATTCTACAGCAATCAAGTTTGTACAAATATTCTACAGCCATCAAGAAAATGTTGTCACTAACGTGAAGTGCTTGGTACAATATCCCTTTCCCGCCTACAAGTTTTTAGTACAAACATCTTCCACGCCTCCAAGTCTTTGGTACAAACATTCTACAGCCATCAAGTCTTTGGTGCAAGCATTCTACAGTCATCAAGTCTTTGGTACAAACATTCTACAGTCATCAAGTCTTTGGTACAAACACCACGACCTTCACCAAATCTATGTTTCAAATATTTACACCTCGTCCATGTCATTGTTACATGGACTTGCACCTCTTCAAAGACCGTTTAAAAAACTTCCAGAACTCGTTGATCTTTTACGAAACTCCATTATGATCTTGATTTTTAAACAACAAAGAAAATGCTGATATATCAACAGAATCTTAATTCCA